GAGAGGCAGCACATACCAAACTCTAGACTTTCGAGCGTACGAAGATGTAGTTAGCTCTAGTATCGGCTTCGGTTGATGCAGATAGTCTCTGAGGTTAGGATCCGAAGGATGAAGGAGCGTTCAGAATAGGAGTCAGTGGTGAGAATACCTTACGGATGCAATACCTTATCTGATAAAAAAGATCAAGAAGCAAAGAAACATCAAGAAGAGCACGGTAACATAAAAATCACCAATGCTGTTCCAGTTATTCTGTTTAATTGGCTTTCCATGTCTCTCTTATCTTCACACAAATTTCCTTTTCTGTCGTTATTGCTGTCACCTTGGCATCATGTCTGCTCACCAGGTGGGAATAAATATACGCTGTATGCAGGTTCTGATGAAAAGTAAACACTCATTTCTGATATTCAAGACACATGATTGGCTATGTGAAGACGAAATTCTGTGATCGTGAACGACGTTGAGTGGGCGAAGTGAGGCCATAAAGTAACGAAGTATAGACCTACGAAACAAGTTACAACTAAGATAAAATACCATACATACTCACTCAACCAAAATGACTTCAATTATCTGTATTCAATGTCTGCATAAGCGGTCAGATGAAAAGACAGGCCACATTGAAAAGGGTTTCTAAAACTATCAGTGGAGTTGATATATGCAAGAAATCGTGGGTTTACTTCTTTGTTATGGAGATTATTGTGCCGCGCTTGGTTTAACAAATAGTCTGGGTTCAGACGAGTTTGAAATAATGTATATATCCCGGAAACACGAATGACGTTTTACTTAATGAAGTACAATGCATTTTACGTACTGCATAACTTTTTATTGGCTTACTTTCCGTGTCAGATGTGGGCTTCTACTCACGTCTCATGAGGGCCAGTCAGATAGGCGCACCACAAGCCCATCCGTCATGTGACATGACTAGTGAAGCAGTGTGGACAAAATGAATTCACATGTGCAACCACATCCTATGTAACTCATGTAAATAAGAGGTCTAGTCGAGGCTTTTACACCAGTTCATATTTTGACTCCCTTCAACTACCCCGACAAGCATCGCACTCCGAGGAAGCCCAATCGGCCGCATGAGGAATGCGATGCAGCTGTATCCGAACACCGATGGTCTGTTTTCATCCTTGGAGGAAGCCCAACGTGTTCATCTAATCTGTTGTAATATTATATAGCTGAAAAGGATTTTCGTGATCTGGATTTTACATTACCACAATAAATAGGGTTAATACGATCGATTATACAAGAACTTAAACCGTTTAACCGATAATACTTGGCTAAAGACTACCAAGTGAGCATCGTTTTAGTAAACCCAAAGGATTTTTAGTAGGAAGTAAATACGAAGTAATCTTACCGTGCCACATGCTTTGCTATCACCGTGATATAGATTGACGCACATGCGTACTACTTCCGCCTCCATTCTGCGGACATCAGGGAAAAGATCCGCGTGTAGAGGATTTGTCCAAACGAACTCCTTAAATACCTGGATACGTAGAAGACCATTAAGAAACCAAAAACATGGAAGTAAATATTGGTACAAAGATACACAAAACCGATGATTCATCAGACGAGAAATTATATTATAAACAAACAATGCCACTTCATTGAATATCCCCATCGTATTCAATCAGGTTAGCTTACGACAACAGAAACTCCTAGATGAACACATATTTCGTATTGAAAACTGGCATCGTGGTTCCCAAAAGCATTTATTAAGAAACATACTTTGGCTGCCAACTCATTGAGGGTATTCTCCCGAGGGTACACACTGCCAGAGGCGAAACCTTCGTCCCAACGGATATACTCTGTGATACAGAATAACCGGTTATTCTATTGGTACCAATATAATTGAAATTACCCGCTGCTTTATATTTCCGAATGCGTATCATTAGGGATTCCTGGTGAATAATTTTAATACGACGAAAAAACATACCAGTGACATGCCTTCAAAAGGCAATCTTTTCTCGTAGTTTACACGGGATTTACCGTGAACCGCAGCATGAACTTCTTTCAATGTGTCATGAATTTTTCTTTCAACAAAGTTACTAAGGAAGGGACAAGCTCTTAAAAAATTAAGAGCAAGTCTTTTGTAGTTAATAGAAACTGTAATGGCAATTAGAAAGGAAAAATATTAGCCAAACCTGCATTCACCAGTACGATCGAAAGAATGCAAACAGCACTAATAAGAGCCGGGGGGTCCAAACGCCGGACACCATCATAATATCTCTTCGCGAAAGCGGTAGTCACTGAGAAAACCTCATGAAGCTTAAAAAAAAATGGTCAGTCAAAAAGGAACATACAACGGAGTTCATTTTTGCGCCCACTGACCTTGAAAACGAAATAGTGTAACGCGAATTCAGGACAGGACAGGACAGGACAGATCACAGGACATGCGGCGGAGCCAGACGCAGTCCAATTTCTTGCGCCAATGAGCTTGGGAGTACCACGGCGCTGCGACAATTTTATCATTTCGTTGACGTATGCGTGGATGGGTGCGGTTCTGGAAAAGGAAAACGCACTGCTGATGGTTCCTCTGAGTGACAGTACACGTCTGAGGTTTTACCAGGATCAAAGCAACACCTCG